TCTTTTTCAAGTTCAATTAGTATAAAATTCAGGAAAAATATTCAGTTAGGCTTCCGCTTTTCCAAATCCGAATTGCCGGGCCTTACGCTTGACCCCTGCCATCAGATTTTGTACAGCCACCTTGTCCACCTTCTTCGCCGCAGAAAGCCAGTTTGCCTTGAACTGCTGCTCGCCCTTAGCAGTTTTTTTGGTCTTCTTTAGGTTCCGCTTGACAATAGCCCAGTATTTCTCAATTGGGCGGAGCTCTGGCGTGTTGGGAGGGTTCTTGTCCTTGGGAACCACCTGCACGTTGTTGGCGGCGTACCACTCCATGGCCTTTTTACCGTAATGGCAAGATGCCAAATCCGGTCAAAACAGTACGGAACAACCGTGTTTCTTCAGGAAAGGCAGCAGACGTTTATTCAAACACTCTTTCACGTAAATTTCTTGGTTGACAGTCCCGGAAGCTATGAAAATGCTGCTTTTCAAGCCACAGGTACATATGGCTTGCCAAACCAGATATTTCTTTGCGAACTTTGACAGTATCATGTGCTTGAAAACATCTGCTACCTTTCCCCTTCCTTTTGCCGTATAAAACTCCTGTCCCGGAAGCTGCTTGTAGTCGGCTTTGACGTAGGTTTCGTCGTCCATTACCACGCAGTCAAACTTCGTCAGCATCGTCGTGTACAGCCTCCGGGATCGCGCTTTGGTCGTCGTATTTTGTTTATCATCGCGATTTGGAGTCACTACCTTCTTGTAAGTCGATAGTCCGGCTCGTTTTTTGGCTCGATGCACGGTTGTAGACGATACACCCAGCTTATTTGCGGCATCTCGGAGAGAGAGGTTAGGGTTTCGCTTGAAACTACCGGCAACTCTCTTTGTCGTCTCAGCGGCTTCCGGTTTTCGACTTCCCCCCGATCCAGACTTCCTGGCTGTCGACAAACGTTCCCCAAACACTTTAATTACATTTGTAACGGTTGATTTGCCAACTTTTAGCGATTTTGCCAACTTTGCGTGCGAGTAGCTCGGATTTTCGCGATGCGCGAGCAAAATTTTGATACGCTGCTCTTCTTGCTTGGACGGCATTTTGACAACTGAAGAGTGAATTCCAAAATCAAAATAGGAGCAACATTCTACACACACACACCTTCAAAATGAGGGGTGTTCAGGTTTTTAAATGCAAAATTGAAAGAAATACGTCAAGTTGATATTGACCAAATTTTGACCGTATCACCCTTTAACACTCGGACCTTGTGAAAATGATGATTTGGTTTTACTCATCACAGAGAGAACCATTTGTACATCTACGGTTCGATCATTCGAGAAGACGCTTAAGAAGTGCCTAGCAAATAGGCTGCATTTGTCCTCAGTTGTCAATGCTACGTCATTGCCGAGAAACATTTTTGACGGCAGCCCAGTTTCCTTCCTCTTCGTATTCACAAACGATCAGAATCCCTTGGGGTGGCATTGCAGATTATGTTGAGTACGAATTACATACCTCTTGTAAAGAAGCTTGTTGTAGTGGCGGTAATCATTGCTGGAAATTGAAAAATTTCGCTTGGTAAGGGTACATCGTCGATGAGTGAGAGCACGGAGACCTCTAGATCGCACTCGTTTCAGGTTGCGGAGAGTAGCGTTAGACCAAGGCGGTTTTCTTGGAGGTAGGCACTTCGGTACTGAAGCACAAACACAGTCGCGCAAAAGGCTATTATAGCGAGCGGCTGCTGTATCGATATCAAGGTCATTCAACACGTTCCAGTCGATCCGGGACAAGGAACCCCTCAGCAAACGGAAATCGGTCTTCCGGAAATTGAGCCGAGTGGCAGTCATGGTTTCATCAAAACGAATTTGAGATCCGTTCGCGACAGATATATCCAAAGCAGGGTGGAAATTGTCAAGAGGAACGATGACGTCAGGCGCTTCAGCGACGACACAGTCCAGAAGTGCACTTTCGCTTATAAAAAATCAAGTCAAGAAAACGAGACTGGAAATTGGGAACAAGGTTTATCTGGCTCAGTCCATGAAAAGCCGTGCCGTCAACAAGCAAGCGGCTGGCAGGAGTAGTTGAAGATGCAATCGGATCTGGAAACGGATGAATTACGGTCTAATCTGTAGACAGTAAAAGAGTCACCAAACAGTTGCACTGAATTGATCATCCCAAGCCAAGTTTCCGTGAATACATAAACGTCATATTCCCTGTCAAGCGCAGCCAGATAAACATCGTCCAATTTAGTCATGAGCCCCCTGGTGTTCTGATAGTAGACCCGTAAACTGCTAGAAGGTTCGGTGCGAGCCGTGTCAATGGTAACTTGTCCAGGATCCGAACGAGAGAACGGTGAACTATCAGGCAGCGAAAGATCACCTGGCGTAGAAAGGCTCAAAGTGGTGGCCATAAGCGAAGATGAACTGAAAACCAAGTGGCGGATCAACAGTTGAATTCACATGGACGAGTTCATACTTGCCGTAAACGAGTGGTTGGAAGACTCCTTCACCAGACCCGCACACAGGGCCGGGACGCCTGTAGGTCGCTAACGGGAATGGCTCGACTGTGGCGGGGGGCTCGGGGGCTTCCATGATGCCAACGGCAGTGCGTCCCAGTAAACAAACAGAAATTGATTCATCATAATGGTGTAAGTCGTCAATCTTCGGCAGGACTAGATCAGAGGATCTGGATGCTTCCTCCGGTGAATTTTCTGTGGAGCATCTCGGCTTCTAGTATGGTGGAGCTGGTATACTGTTAATGTCATCTTCAGACCACAATTGTCGTGGAGCAGACATATACAATGGCACTCTGGAAACCAAGAATTTTTCAGACAGAGCAGTTGTTGCTTGATGATTGTACTTGCTTACAGTTGGAGTTTGGAAGACCCCCTCTCCTAACTCAAACGCAGGGCTGGGACAACTGTTGAACGCTGGCAGCATAGGCTCGACTGCGATGATAGGATCCGGGGCTTCCACAAGGCTAGTTGCAAGTGTGCGTCCGAGTGTCGAGTTGAATAAAGCAGGTTGTGCTTTTATCGGAAATGATCGGCTGTAGGCATAATACATATCAAGAAGTGGATTGTTCGAAATAATGTCGTACTTGCCTGAGATAGGGTTTTGGAAGACCCCTTCATCAAATCCAAACACAGGACAGGGACGACTGGAGGTCGCTGGCAGGAATAACTCGACTGTGATGGATGAATTAGAGGCTTCCGTAACACACATGGCAGGCGTGCGTCCCGGTGTCCAACTTGGGTCAATCACGAAGGAGTTCATTGTTGAAGTTCGATCCGGCTTCATAAAGATGTTCTGCGATGACGGTTTGGAAGACCCCTTCTCCATTCTAATACACAGGTCCGGGATGGCTGCTGAGCGCTGACGGGAGGGACTCGACTATACTGAGAGGATTAGGGGCTTCCATAAAGCTAGCAGGAGTGCTTCCCGGTGCTGGACCAATTGCTTCATATGGAGAGAGCTGAGCATGAAGTGGCTGGCTAGAACGACGGACGTATCAGGTACATAATTGCTGTTACTGAGAGCGTACTTGCCTGAAGTAGCGAATTGGAAGACTCCTTCACCAGATCCAAACACAGGGCCGGGACGGCTGCTGAACGCTGGCAGGAGAGGCACGACTGTGATGGGGGGATCAGAGGCTTCCGAAGTTCTCAAGCTGGTGCGTCCAGGGATGAAGGTGATCAATTTGCAGAAGTAATCGAAGGAGTATCTGTTGTTGGTTTCCGGTTCTGATATCACAGGTAGGAGAACCCCGTCTCCACTTATGACCTGAGGGCCGGGACGACTAATACGGTGGGAGCTAACGGCAAGCTCGACTGAGTCTGAAGGATAATTTGCTTCCAAATGTTCCAGTTGAAGCGTACCGATGTTTGATTCGGAATCGAGAAACTCGTTTTCGATAGTTTTTGAGCGAAATTGTAATAGCCAAAGAACGATCAACAAACGAAATGCTGTTACAAGCGAGATACTTGCCTGTGAGAGGATTTTGGAAGACTCCGACACCTTCCTCGACCACAGGTTCAGAACGACTGTGAAGGCAGGAACTAACAGCAAGCCTGCCTGGGTCGGGAGGACTAGGGACTTCCATGATGCTATAGGCAGGCGTTCTGGGTTGACTTCGGCGAAAGAGATGATCAGCGGAGAGTTCTATTGGTTCCAATCCTATTGGCCACCGGTGTCTGCAGGAGGCTTCGCACCGATCCGAATGACTCGACGGTTTTTTGAGTTGTTCTCAAATTCACGGAAGTACACTTTTTCAGGCCATGTCTCTTTTGCTAAGGCCACGTCCCTGAGATCCTTGCTCACACCAACTTTGAAAGTAACAAAGCTAAGTGTGGAAAGGTATAGACTCGCAATTTCATCGTCTGAAATAGTAGGGTCAAACGCTGACAAATAAATCCACAACAGATCCTCGCATTGTGGAACTGTCTTTACAACATTTGAGACTGATTTTATTCCTGAAATTGAAATTTTAGACAAAAAAAAGTATTCTACAAAGTTGTTCCTTATAGTTCGGCCCTCATTTTTATGACAATGAATTCTAGGGTGGTTCTTATTAACATTGAAATCAACAATCTAACTTTTTTGTTTGAAGTAATTAAGGTATACATTTTTCGGCAAAGTTATAGGGGAAATGTAGGTAATGTCGGCCTACATGTCCCTAATTTGGGCCCATCGCTAAAAGTCTGCTATTTATCAATTTTATCTAGATGAACGCGTTATTGGGACGTTACTAATGGATATTTTTGGTTGCTATTGAAAATTTAGTTGATTGCTGAATTTATGTATGGGCCCAAATTAGGGACACTTAGGCCGACATTACCTGCATTTCCCCTAGCTATTTCAAGCAACTTTGTACACTAGAACTTTTTTGTATCTCTTAAATTGACTGATTTAGCGCTATTTTCTTGAATTGATTAAGGGTGTCTCTAAAAAAAAAAACAGTTGTTTTGCTCTAGTTTTCTTATTTCAAATTTCTCAGCAAAGATGTCTTGCAATATCTTTTAGATCTTTTAAAGGCGCACCACTCCTAAGACGCGCTCGTAGACTTCATCCCTATCTAGGTTCAGCGACTTGCAAGCTGACGATCCAGTCTCCCCTAGACGCTCGAGCACATCCTGCGAGTTAGACAGTATTTTGCCGAATTTGAAGCCTGCTGCTGCGTGGATGAGCTGCACTTGTTCGACAAGCTGTACTGCTTCCTCCACCGAGTTGACACTGTCGAGGAAGTCATCCACGTAGTGGTTGTTGATGATCGCGTTTACTGCTCTGGGATATAGTTCCGCGTAGTCGAGAGCGTTTTTGTTCTTTACGAATTGCACCGTGCACGGAGAGCTGGTTGCCCCGAACATCGCTACGTTGATCACGTAGACCTGCACTTCATCCTCTGGACTGCTACGCCATAAGAAACACTGCGACCACTTGTCTGCCTCCCTAATCAGGATTCTCAGGAACATTTCACGGATATCGGAGCACACCGCAATCTTGCCTTCCCTGAATCGTAGCAAAACTTCCACGAGTGATACGAGAAGATTCGGACCCTTGAGCAGCTTGTCGTTAAATGAAACACCACCGGCCTTTGCAGCAGCAGCATCCCACACCATTCTGATTTTGTTCGGTTTCTTAGGATTCGTAACCATCCCTAACGGAAGGAACCAGACTTCGTGTTCTCCAGCTCTTCCGACGACACCTTACAGACGTACTGCTTCTGTTCATAGCTCTCGATTTGCTCGTTCACTGTTCTGCGCAGCTCGGGATCTTTGGCCAACCGTTTCTCCAAACCTCTCAACCTGCTTACCGCCATTTAAAAGCTGTCCGGGAAGTTTACGTTGTCCTTACGCCAGAGCAAACCCGCTTCCATACGAGTTCCTCTCCGTATCGTTGTTGCTTCTAGGATGCTGCGTGCTCGCTTGTTCTCCTCGGATTCGAGCTGCTTCGTCAAAACGGCATCCTCAACAGCGAAGAACTTTCGCATTGAATCGTGTAGATTGCTGTTACTCATCTCCTCACAGGCATGGACGTTCAGCTGTTCAATTGAACCTTCGCTTCCGTTGTTTCGGTTGCTACTGGTTCGCTGCTTTTACCTTTACGATTCTTCAGACTAGTCAGCATCCGTACGTGCTCAAGACAAACTTTCGGGTTCCTGTATGATGGATCGTCATCGACGTTGCTAGAAGAAAAGATCGCAGCACAGCTGGGTATTGAAGGTGAACCGGACAACCTGTGACTGAGTTGGACCGGAAAGGTCAGTAGACACGGGAAGACATCGAAGAGGCTGAGCGTGAAGATATCCGGTGCTGGTAAGAGGGAAACGTTTCAACTGAGCAACGTACGAACAGTGCACGAGCTAGGACTTCCAAGTCAAACGTTGGACTACACAGAGCTTGCGAATACATTCCCGCATTTGCAGGGGCTTCCCAACTGTGCTGCGATCCCTTCTTCTAGCAACGTCGATGACGATCCATCATCCAGGAACCCGAAAGTTTCGACTTGTTTCCCGTCTCCGTATAGCGTAACTGGCAGATAACGCAACAGAGAGAACGATTTCGTGTGGTGATGATTATGGTGAACAGTCTCGGCTGACTTTGCACCGTCGGCAGCATCGTTGCGACAACTGTCCTGCAGCATATACTGTCGAACCCGGCATCCCTCTACTAAAGGGCGTCCACGATGAAATTGCCACACTATGAAATTGCTCTAACTTTTTAACCGTTGGGTAGAATTTAATGAAAATTTGGGTGGATTTAGTTAATAGTGCATTATTTACATCCTGCAAGTTTTAAAGTCCTGTGATCAAAACTCGCGGAAATGGAGTCGAAAGAACAGCTCGCGTGATAAAATCTTGCGCAGTCATCACGAGAACAAGGATCTCTCGCATCGTTCCATCGCTAAAACGTTGGGAATCGCGAATTCCACGGTGTCGCGAGTGATTAAGCGGTTCGAGGAACGGTTGACCACCGATCGGAAGCCCAGAAGTGAAGGAAAAAGTATTCCGTACAACACCAAAAATCACAACCGCGTAGTTGGGGCCTTCAACCGAAATCCGAACGCCTCCGTTAGGGATGTGGCTAAGAAGCTGCACCTAAGCCGAAGTTTTGTCCAGAAGGCCAAAACTAAGGCTGGGCTTCGAACTTTCAAGGTACAAAAGGCCCCTAATCGCGACGAGAAGCAGAACAAGTCCGCCAAAACCCGTGCCAGGAAGTTGTACCTCAACATGCTGACGAAAGTTGAATGCTGCATCATGGACGACGAAACATATGTGAAGGCCGACTTCAAACAGATCCCCGGCAACCTGTTTTTCACGGCCAAGGATAAGTTCAGCGTTCCGGAGCATGTCCGCACTCAGAAGATGTCCAAATTTGCGAAGAAATTCCTGGTTTGGCAAGCCATCTGCACATGCGGGAAGCGGAGTGCACCTTTCGTGACCCAGGACACGATGAACGGACAGGTGTACATAAAAGAGTGCCTCCAGAAGCGGCTGCTTCCTCTCCTGAAGGCCCACAACGTCCCAACAATCTTCTGGCCGGATTTGGTCTCATGCCACTACTCCAAGGACGTGCTGAAGTGGTATGCGGACAATAAGGTCAATTTCGTGCCGAAAATGTTCAACCCTCCCAACACTCCGGAGCTCCGCCCCATCGAGAAGTACTGGGCGATTATGAAGCAGCACCTTCTTAAACGACCTAAGGTAGTGAAGACAGTCGAGGAACTGAAGAAAGTATGGGTTTACATGCAAAAAACGGTTGATTCACAGGTTGTGCAGAATCTTATGGCCGGGGTTAAGGCCAAGGTGCGGGCATTTGCGTATGGACTGTAAATAAAATACGAGTAAAATGGTAAAATGAAGTTTAATAGTTATTTCTCAATCCTTGAAAATTTGATGGCAATCGGATGAAAACTCGAATTTTGCGAATCAATTTTGTGTGTGGCAATTTCATCGTGGACACCCTTTATGCATTCCTTTTTCGATCGACATGGCCATTTACGATGCGATATTAAGCACAATCGGCACAAATTCTCATGCCGCATTGCCTTCCAACGGCCTCCGATGTCTAACGACTTGAAGCTGGCACAGTTGAGGATCTGATGACCATCTTTGTCGCAGTAGGAACACGCTTTCGACGTACGTTCTCCTTCTTCAATACGCTTGGCGGCTCATTCGCGTGGGTGAACAGCTTCTCCTTTTGCCTTATCTTTTCCACCCTAGGCTGTTTTTGGTGGTTTTGGGCTGAGTCCACTCCAATGCTCAGCTCGGAAGCTAGATTCACCAGTCCCGTCATGAAGTTGTTGAACATCGCCAGGTTGACGTGAACGAACGCTTGCTTGAACTATCGCTATCAACTCCTGTAGCAGCATCGGATTCGATAAATGCGCTTGCTGATCTGTGAGAATAATGTGATCGACGAGATTCTGAATCACCCAGCCGTAGGTGACGATGGTGCTCAAGTTATCCGACTTCGTTGGCGAAGCGTTCCTCACCTTCTTCAGAAGAGAACTTATCAGTATCTCTGGCTTTCCGTAGAGCTTATGCAGCGTTTTCATCACGTACGGAACAGATGCGGGTAGGAGCAGACGACTTCTAACTACCTCCAATGCTGAACTTCGCAAACTATGCTGCAGACTTGCTAGATTCTCGGCATCCGTGTATCCGCAGACCTCCGTCGTGTTCTTGAACGAACTATAGAAGATAGCCCATTCCTCAGGATCTCCTCCGAACTTAGGTAGCTCTCGTGGCATTACCTGCCGAGCTGCCAATTGGGCACTAGTTGGTCCTGCCAAATTGACTGAAGGATTTATCCTAATCCCGTAGATTCCCAGCGATGTTGGTACTACTGACGGTGTTGCTTCCGGCCTCGTAACTGGAAACGCGATAGTTGTTGATGGATACAGAAACGATACTGAATTCCCGAGGAAAACAGTAGGACTGCTTGGAATTCTCGGAAACGAACTAGCAGTAGTTGAAGTAGTGAATATCCATGTGAAAACTTGAACAAACCAGCTGTGGAGGGAACTGGTGGATTCTCAGACACTACAGGTGCTAGATTAGACGAAATCGGCCAATACGGCAACGAACTAGTAGTGGTTTGAGTCAAATACTATTGTGTAGTTCCATAGATGCCACTCAAACCGTACAGAATTGACGGAATCAACCCAGCTGCACTCGAGAGCATTGAATTCATTCCAGGATACGAGTAAACCGGTGTAGTACTAAGACTAATAGGCGGATTTTCTATTCCTGTCATAGTCGCTTTAGGAATCGTTGGTACAGTTGAAACTAACGACGAAGTAACCGTCGGTGCTGTTACTACAGTCGTGACAAAGCTTCCACTAGCTGTTGCCACTACTGTCACTGGTATCGATGAAAACGTTGGTAGATAGGATGATGTGCTTCCTGGTATCGTTGATACTGCCAAGGACTCGTAGGACTTCGCCAGAGCTGTGATGTTACCATCGGGAACTGGAGTCGTCGGATCCGGGAACAGCATACCCTGATTCAATGGAACCGGATTGGTAGATGTTTCTACCATCGAAGAAGTTGTTGTTGTTGGTAGCACAAGGACTCCTGGATTCGTCTGGCTAACAGCTGGGACTGTCAGGGTAGCTTTCTGTCCGGACGTTGATGGTTTCGACTGTTCAACTCCGTCCACTGGGCTCCCTTATTAAGCCATTTCTCCATCCGTTCACGCCTACTCTTCACGCTGACTCCGTTTTTCCTACTCGATGAACCCTTTGCATCTCCCATCTGCATCAACAACTCGTACCTTTGCCTCAGGTATTCCTGTTCCTCGTCAAGTTCCTTCAACTTGGCTTCTTCTTCCAGCTTTCGTATGCGCAGTTCTTATTCCGTTCGCTTTTTCTTAAGTTTCCGTTGCTCCTCGAGAATTTGTAGGCTGAGCTGCAATTTCTGCGACACACGACTACTTTTGCTGACAGACGACTCGTTGAACGATACACCAGACTTCGATGCACCATACCAATTCTGCAATCCATTCACTGACACGCGCGCACTGGAAGTGTTTCCACGATTCACACACATCGCAACACACCATCCCTTCTTCCACATCAGTACGACCGCACTTTTTGCAATACTTTTCAGTGTTCTCATTAACGTCTGACATTTCGAGATCGACCTAACTGTCCTAAACTGTCCAAGACTTCTCTGACGACTCGCTAAAACTAACAGCGAAGCTCGCGACCGGTGACGGTGACAGAATCAAATACAAATACAGACTTTATTTTGCTGCACTGCCCGCACTCTATGATGCACTCCAATTCCAAACTCGTTTTGGTTAGTTGTCTTCAACAGTGGACCGTCTCGCGTTCTCGCTGTTGCCGAATGTTCCCGTAAGTCGGAACTAACATCGTTCTTCTAGTTGCGTACTCAGCAGCTTCAAAGCTGTAATTCATTATTTATGTTAGCGGTTATACAAAGGTAAGTTTTATACAAATTGTCTTACATTTTCAGTCAGTGTTCTTTTTAATGCTATCTCAGGCAGTGCTGAGATTTGTCATTGTCACTGACAGACTTTCGCGCGATATTGACTAAATTGTTCGTCACATAGTCACTGGCAGACTTGATCCTCAATAAAACTTTCGTCAAAATCTCATTCATTTTTTCGTCAATGACAAAGATTCACCTGGTAACAAAAAGTGTAATTTAGTACATTCTGTGTCACATTATTATTATCCAAGTAGCTCAGGACGTTGATACTTGTTCACTAAAATGGATGCATGTAATTGTTTTGCTCAAGTCATTTAATTTCGTTACAAATTTGGCTAATAAATAAATCTGCACATGTTCGT